AGAAAGGACTGGAGGGAGGCAACATGTCTGGCCTGGCAGTAATAGGCCTTGGGTTACTGCTGGTAACCCTGTCTTCCCTTTGTGGAATTAGAGGAGGTCGGAACATGTGGCCTCCTTGTCGTTTTTGCACCACCCATGTGGCTCATTCCTCATTTCACCCATGACTCTGCTGGGACATCACCTCCTCCCCAGGCCTGACCCTATCACCCTCGTTACATTTGAACCACATGCTTCCCACCTCTTCACCTGCTTTATCTTCTTCATGGCACCACTGACTACCTGACGTCATACATATTGCCACTGAGTTGATTTCAACTCATAGTGTCCTTATAATACAAAGTCAAACTGCCCCACAAGGTTTTTAAAGCTGTAATCTTTACAGAAGCAGACTGTCATATCTTTCTCCCATGGAGAGGCTGGTGAGTTTAACCCATTGACCTTCCATTTAGTAGCCAAGCGCTTAACCACTGAGCTACCAGGGCTCCTTACTTGACCTCAAAGTACACATTTATTCATTCCCAGAGGCAGGGGCTGAATCTGTCCTATTCATCCCATGGGAGCCTCAGCTCAGAGTAGGTTGAATGAATGAATGTGAGTTCCCGTGAAAGAGCACAGGAGGCAGAGGGCATTTTCTCTGGAAGGGAAAGGCTCTGGGCCTTTGGCAGGCATCACATCTTCCCACCTCCCCCTAGAGATCTTCCCCCAGCAGACTCCAAGGGCCAGGCCTGTAGCCGACTCCACCACATGGGCAAGGTCAGGCTGAGACATTATTTTCAACTCTGGCCACCGGGTGGCAGCCCAGGGGCTGGGGCTTGATGCCAGAACAATCAATGTCTGGTGGAGACATAGATGAATTTTGGTCCAGAGCAACAGGCCTGCCTCTGGAACAAGTGTGTATAAGAGAGAGGGGTAGGAGGAAAAGTAGGGTAGGAGAGTGGGTGCTGAGCTGGAGGCCTGAACCTCCACCCAAAATCACAATGAAGATGTTCTGCTTAACTGGGTTTCCCACCCATCTGACATTTGAAAGCTATCATCACCTTCTGAAGGAGCTCTGGTGGTGCAATGCCTAAGGCATTTGACTGCAAATCAGAAGGTTAGTGGTTCAAACTCAACAGCTACTCTGCAGAAGGAAGACTGGGCAATCTACTTCTGTAGATTTACCTCCTCGGAAATCTAATAGTGGTCGCTCTGAGTAGGAATCAACTCGATGGCAGTGGGTTTGGGACATATCTTTAAGCCAGTGGAAGTATTATTTACTAAATATTCTTCTTTAAATAACCTTTTAAAACTTTAATAATGTAATAGAAAGAAATGCTCATATCACCATTGTAACAGAAACTAAAGTCATTTACCACAAATAGGTAGTAACCATGAAATAAACTAATCAATAATATCAAGCACTTACATGGCATCAAAACACCTAATTTAGTTTCCTATCACCCTATGGGGTTGAGGCAAGATGAGAGTGAAAAATCCCTCTCCCCATACTCCCCCTTCCTTCCTCCCGGACCAGCCCAGCCGTCCTTTATATCCTTATCTGTGCATTCCAGCCAACCTATACCCCCTCCCATCTCCCTGTTTCTCCCCTGCCTGATTTTTTTTTCTGCTTCTGTAACACTGCTGGCTTGTGTCCTTGAAAATAACCAACCACCCTTTTATCCCAAAGATCCCAGAAGAAGAGCCCCATAAAAACCCTATGTGGCCTTTGTTTGGGGCTCAGTTTCTGGATGTGAATCCACTGAGCCCAAGTCCCAGTACAGTAAAGTCCTTCCTTTGCATCATCCTGCTCGGCGTTGGCATTTCTCTCGGCAGCTCCGGTAACAGAGTAACTACCACTATTACCCCATCATGCAGACAAGGGGATGGGACACAGGTGGTGAATGGCACCAGCAGGATTTGAATTAATCCAGTGTTTTAAGAGCAATTAGAAAATTGAAGTTTAACACAGTGTCCTATCCCACACACTTATCTTGCTAAATGTTGCCTCAAATAAATGCATACACACATACATGTGTGCACAGAGGCTCACACATCATATACACACATGCACAAATACACACAATGCATGCACTCACACATTAACAAACACATGTGCATGTACACACGTGCACACATGTGTACACACGTGCGCAGTGACGTTTGTACTTCTGGTCCTGACAGAACCATGGGTGATAGAACCAGGGGGTCAGCTCTTGTATCCCTATGCCTACAGGCGTGCTGGATGTGTTTATCTTTTTAAAGGACCAAACATACCCCCCCCACACACACACACAACTCCACACACAACCACCCACACATAGCCGTCTTCAGGGTACTGCCCTGGAGCCAGAGTGGTTCTGGGTGACTGGGTGAGGTACCACAGAGCTGAAGTCTAGAGGGGCATGATCTGAGACCCCACTTTTCCTGCTTGCAAGGGTCAGGATTCAGGCAAAACCTGGAGACTTAGGCATAAAGCAAGGGCTCCAGAGGGAATCTAATGCTAGATACTCAGTATGGGGGCCAAGGTGAGGGGGGCTCAGGTTTCTTGGCTATCTCAGACAAGCCTTTGGGCCCCTGGTTTGTAAACAACAAAAGGGCAAAGAGATACTGTGCCCATCCAGGAGAGAAAGACGCCGAGAGGGATCTGCTCCTCGCAGCACCTAATCTGACAGGGCTTTTTGGCCATGAGAGAATGGCGTAATCCAGGGCGAACCGAAGGGGCGGGCTGAGTTGGTCGCCCAGATCAAAAGGCGCACCCCATCCCTCGACGCGCCAGCCCCCAGCCCAGTCTCCGCCCTTCGTGCCCTGGACTACTGCCCCGCTTGACCGGGTGTGGCGAGGTCGCAGAGGGAACAAGACCCGCCCGTCCCTGTCACTCACCGCCCCAGTCCCTAGCGGGCTCCAGTCGCAGGAGGTCGTGGGCCAGGGTCGGTCCGTAGCCCTCTCTCTGGAATCTGGCCCTCGCACCCCTGCGCCTTGGTACGCTCCGCGGGTCGGGCTGGACTGGTGCTGGGGCGGGTCCTAGGGCCCGCCCCCACTCCCTGTCCAGGTCATTCGGCGACCCGGATCGAAGCAGGTCCCAACATGGGGAGGCATTGCTGGCGGCGACGCCTGTTGGCGGCTGCTTGTCTGGGCATAGCGTTCCTGCTCCTGGGCTGCCCGCACGGCGCCGTGCGCTCAGGTGAGTGTCGGGGGCACACTTGGACCGCAGAGACGGATAAACAGACTCTACTCCTATCCACGACTCTGGACGACCAGCGGCCTGCCCCCTTGGACCCAGAGGGAGGAGAACCAGGGCTTGGGATGGGGCGGGGTCGCCCCGTGCGGCCCAGGCAGGCTCTAGGCGCCCCAACCAGGACTCAAAGAAGAGACAATTTGAGGTTCGAGGTTCGCAGCTTGTGCCTAGAGAACCGGGTCAGATGTGGGTGGTGAAGGGTATTTGGCCAACCTGGGAAGGAAGCCCTCTTAACCTTCACGTCCTTATGCCCTTAGCTCCACAGATGTCCCTCTCATAAGCGGTGCAAGGGTAGGGGGCAGGAAGCTGGCTGCTCCTCATCCCAGAGAGCTGTATACATCCGTGCAGTGGGTGCTGCTGCTTCTCATCTGGTCGTGTGCCCTGGAACTACCGGCTCCACCTGAAGTCCACACTGAGGAGTGGGGCTCCCTTGCACTCACTTTGTGGTCTGGTTGAGGAAACTGAGGCAGCGAGGCATGATTCCCCCAGGCAGGGATGGTGCTGAATCTTCATACACATCTCCTCCTCAAATCCTCCCAACAAATGTGTGTTGTTGTTGTTGTTATGTGCCATCGAGTTGGATCCAACTCATAGCAACCCCTCCTTGGGTTGACCAGGAGGTTTCTCTACAGAAGTAGATTGCCCAACCTTCCTTCTGAGGAGTGGCTGGTGGGTTTGACCCATCAGCCTTCTTGTTAGCAGTCAAATGCCTTAGGCACTACGCTACCAGAGCTCCCACAAGTGTGTGTAGGAGGCACTATTACTATTCTTTACATTTCCCAGATGAGGAGACTGAGGCCAGCAGGTAAGAGAAGGGTGTGGATGGCAAAAGTGCTGCCCACATCATCTGCCTGGGACTCCAGGCCCAGCTGACCTCTGTTCCTTCTCGTGCTGTTTGCCTTCCCTTGTATGCATGGCTGGGGGTGGAGGAGGAGGAGTTGAGGTAGGGGATGTCCTTGCTCTCCTCTCACCTTCAACCCCCAGCCTTGGGCAGTGTGTGAGGCTGGGCACCTTGCAGAATTGTTGGGGGGAGTAAGAAACCAGCCCCAGTGTGGACAGGTACTGGGGAAGTGGGATAAGGATGGATGAAGACATGATGCTGTCTCAGGATGTCTATGCCAAAACCCAGGTGCCTCTACTTGTTCATTGAAGGAGCTGGCTGGGTCTGGGCTGCTGGGTTGAAGGTGTCCTGGGCAGAGGTAGAGATGTTGGTGGGACATAAGGGGCTTGGGTTCACATTCCAGCTCTACCATTTGCCTGCTCGGTGACTTCTTCCTTCCCCTCTCTGGGCCTCAGTACTCTCATCTATAAAATGGGGGTGTCTATAAAATGGGGGCATCTATAAAATGGGGGCTTCTGAAAAGACTAAATTCAATGAGGTAGTGGACAAGGAAAAGAGCCTTTTCATCATACTGGCTATCATGATTAGGAGTGATGCTGTGCCCATCCTGGGGTGAGGGGTTTCCTTCCCCTGAGCCCAGTCACACCTGTGGGATGGAGGCCAGTGTTTGGCAGGGTCCAGGTAAGCAGGTTTGGGAAGGCCTTGTCAGCTACTCATCCTGCCACTCACCCTGTCCCCTCCATGTCTGGGCATAGCTGGTCTGACCTGGACACCTTCCCACGCCTATGGAGTATGCTGCACTCACTCCTTCCACCCCCACGACTCTGCCTATAAGCTAGCTGGTGGTCTGGGCATCAGAGCTGAGAAGAGGGAGTGTCCCATGCACAATCTGCAATGTCTGGAACCACAGGAGTCTTGATGTCTGTGGCTGAGACAGTCTCTGTCCACCCTGTCATTCCTTATGTTTCTCCACTGCCTAGGACTGGACAAGGTCTATGATGACAGGGCAGGGCCCAGCCCAGTGGGTGTGAGACAGGACACATGGCATCTGGGAGTAGGAGCCTTAGGGTGGAAGAACAGCTGTGGAAGCACAGCTATTCTGGGACACTGTCTGTGGCTCCACACTTCTGTGGGCATGGAGGTCTCTGTGAGTGCCTCTCTTCCTTGCCAGACATCTCTTCTTTGCCCCATGTTTGAGGGAAGAGACATAAACTAAGGTACTTGGAGAAGGAGATCCACAGTGCCCCCTCCTAGCCTTCACCCATCTGTTTCCCTCACCTGTGCTGCCACCCATCTGTGTTTGGTCATGACCCTCCTACTCAGCAGGCAGGCCTAATTCTAGCTGGTCTGGGAGGCCCTTCCTGACACCTACTTCCACTCCCATACACTGAGACAGCCCTTTTCTCTGATATCCCATAGCAAAGCGCCCCCACCCTTCCCACCTCTGCTCTTCCAGGATTTCTCATGGACTCTAGAAGACTTTTCCCTGTGGCCTGGTATCAGCTACCATAGCTCTGTGAATGACCTTGGACAAGCAAGGGTTAATAAACAAACTTACCTAACCCTATCCCTCCCTACTGCAGCTCTTTTTTTTTTTTTTAATTTTTATTGTGATTTGGGTGAAAGTTTACAGAGCAAATTCACTTTCCATACAGCAGTTCATACATATTTTGTCTCATGACATTGACCGCAATTTCCCATAATATAACAGTTCTCTTCCCACTTCTTCCCCATAGCTACCTCTTCCGTGTGTCCTACCCTCCCATGCACTCCTGCCCCCTAAGCCGTCTCCCTGGGCATACACTGCCTTTCTGTTCTCCCATGATTGATCTCTCCAAGGAGTATATCTACCTGATATATTCAGCCCATGTGCCTATCTTTTATTTGGCTGAAAGCCACAGGAGTGGGTTCAATTCCAGACCTGAAGGGCAGCTAGGGGCCATAGTCTCAGGATTTTCACCAGACTCTATCAGACCAGCAAACCTGGTCTTTTTTTTTTTTTTTTTTTTTTTAATGATTTTGAGTTTTGTTCTACATTGTTCTTCCACTCTATCCAACCAAGATCTCTTACACAGATCCCCCTCTGAGTGGTTGACAGTGGAAAGCAGGCACCATCTAGTTCTTCTGGTCTCATGGTCATATAGGCTGAGGATTTCATGGTCTACCAGTCCCTTGGAGTAATTGTTTCCATGTGTCTTTGGTTTTCTTCATTCTTCTTTACTCTGGATGAGGAGAGATCCATTGTTGCATCTAGATGGCTGCTTGCAAGCTTTTAAAATCCCAGTTGCTACTTGCCAAAGTAGGATGTGGAACAATGTTTTGTGTGGTATGTTATGCTAATTGAGCTTGATGTCCCCTGTGACCATGGTCCCGAGCCCACAGGTCCAACTACTTGCTCTCTCTGGGTAGCTGGCTGTGACCAAGCAGTGACAACTTTGTCCCTTGTCAGCTCCATATATATGTGGAAATTCTTACAGAACACACAAATACACTGGTAGAAACACTGGCTGCCAGCCCTTTACATGGTCATGGGCACACTCTCCCCCACTTAGACATACTTGATTGTTCGTTCATCCTCTTCACCCATCTGTCTACCCGCAGCTCAATGTTTGCCATCACTGACAACACTGTACTGTATGTCCTGCTGCAGCTCTTTGCTCTCTCAAGCCACGATTTAAGGCTTCTGACCTCAGAAGCCTGAGTGAGGGTGTGCTAATGGTGAGGACGCAAACCTTGTGGATGGCTGTAAGGGGAAAGGTCTGGAATGGAAAGGCCTGCCCTTGCCACATTCCTCCTGTTGGAACCAGGGCTGCCGGGGTGCAGCTGCTAGCCCTGAGTCTGAATGAGGACACAGGGTGTGGTTCTGAGAGCAGCTGGCCTTGGCTTAAGGACTTGGGAAGAAATTTAGCCCCTATCCCAGGTGGTGGGTCCAACATTGCCCCTGCTTTCTCCAAAGCAGATGTTGCCACAAGTTGGGTGTGGAACCCTTGAAGGGCTACCAGTTCAGGCCTGGAGTTTCTGCTGCCTCGAAGTGCTCAGAATAGTTTATTAGTGGGGAGGTCTAGAGCAACCCACCCAGTACTTCTCAGCCCCCAGAACTCCACAATCAATGCTGGCCTAGGACTCAGTGTCCTGAGGATGAGGAAGACCCTAGGGGAAGATGGGACAGCTGCCCAGGACCCTCCTGCCCTCATACCTGACCTTAAGGTCCCAGTACACTAGAGTCACTACCCTGGCCCTCTGCAACTCTTTCTTTTCTCTGTCTTCCTGCCTGGGGCTGGTGACTGCTGCTCCCAGAGTTTGTGAACCTGCCCTTCCCAGAGTTGGGGTGATACTTTCAATAAAGTATTCATCTACTAGGGTCTGTACATGGAGGGCTGCAGTCATACCCTTGAACAAGTGCTCACCTTCCAGGGTCTATACACAGAGGGCCAGCATGGTCCCCTCAACCAAGTACTCACCTCCCTGGGTCTGTACATGGAGGGCCGGGTCATTCCTTCAACCAAGTACTTATCTCTCAGGGTCTGTACACCACAGGCTGGGTGGTACCCTGGACTAAGTATTAGCCCCTCAGAGTGTTGAACAGAGGGCTAGGTTATTCCCTTGACCAAGGACTCACTGAGTGCCTGTTTATGCCAGGCCTTTTTCTAGGTACTGGGAGACAGCAGGGAACAAAACTTACATGAACCCCTCCCTTCATGGAGCTTACATTTTTTATACTGAAAACAAAATTACCACTCTGAAACCTCTGCCTCCCAGATACAACCAGGGAGAGAAAGGATGCTGCATTAAATCCCACACTGGTTCACATGGGCCTTTGTGGAACATACTCACCACACCTGCTCTAGAGACCTTCTGGGGGTTTGCAATCCCCACACTGTAACAGCATTATTCCCACTTCCTCTCTGCACCCACTCCTTCACTTTGTTCTTCCTTCCCATCACCTCCCACCTCCTAGCTCTATCCTTGGGCAAATGCTGCCCTCTTGATCTCATATACTTGATTGTGGTAATAAGTGCATACCCTCCTGATATTACTGTTCACTTTACAGGCCTGTCTTTCATTTGGCTGCCAGTTGAGTCACTCGGTTAAGTTCAGTTCCTAG